AAAACGGAATTTTTTTTATACTTCTGATTTTATACAATGCCATTTACTTCATTGGAAATTACCGTACTGATTACAAAGACATTCATATACTTCAAAGAACAAAACTTTTCTCTTCAGATGTGATAATCGGACGAAAATAACAACTGTGGACCATCGTTTAATTTTAAGGACAATTTAAGCATTAGGATGTATACACCAATCTTTGAAAAAAAATCAATGCTGTATGCTTTTTTAAATCCCATTTGTCATGCGATATCTTATTATCAATGACATGTGTAATTACCCAAAAAGGACCCTTATATATGACTTTCAAATTATCAGGAGGTATGTGTGCGGTGAGGAAGCATAGGGCTAACGCTATTCGGGGTTTACAACAAATCTATGATGGATTTCCGCATTATTCTTTCATATTTGATTGCGTTGCTTCTTGTTTTTCTCATCTTCACATCAGGTAAGTGTATGCATTTCCGTCAAATCTAAAAGAATAGTTATTTTTTTTAGGCAATTGTTTATATATTTGTTGTTAATTAATAATTTTTTTTATTAATTTGTGAAATTTTTAAACAAAATGTGCCTCAAATATCGTATTTACATGTATCATCCATTAAGAAATTTTTCTCTATTTTGAAAAAATAGTGCTCGAAAAAAAATTCCTGACTATATATATATATATATATATATATATATATATATATATATATATATATATATATATATATATATATATATATATATATATATATATATATCAGGGATGTCAACGAGTACCCGGTTAACCGGGTACTCGATCGAACGTCCGAGTATCGAATATTATAATCGCTATTCGGATGTATATTTTTTTTATTCATATTTCAAATGCATATATATATTTATTAAAAAAACTTATCAAACATGTAAGTTAAATATACATTTCTATGTCTTTACAGTTATTAGCGTCACCTACATCAGTTTATACCCGTCATATCGACTGTATATACAGTAATTACCGTGAGCAATCATTGGACACCGTACATAGCTGTCCTCACCTCTTGTGACCTTAATTTTAGAATGGCTCTAATTATTTGTTTTCAGTGAATATCTTTTACTTATGATCTAAATATTGATTATCCTTTGATTATTTAATTAGCATGCTTACCGTAGCGAAATCTGACATACATAGAAATACCGATACCAGGGACCTATATACTATTATTATACCTCATTATAATTATTCTATACAACGCATTATCAGATTGGTTCTAGATTATCACGTGACAGGGCCATAAAACTTCATATTTCCCTGTCATCGGCATGCTTTTCATCATATTCCACCTCTTCGGAAACCTAGTGCATTTTCCCGCAAAGGTTATCGTTCAAACTCCTGAGAGTAATTGACGTCACAATAGCCTGGTTCACGTCACAAAATTGCTGAATGTTTCATTGGAGGTGTTGTGTCAAAGGGTTTCAGTAATTTTACGTTAAAAATGAAGGTGAATTTGAAAGTGGTGCCGAATTTGAAAGTTTATGTTTATTTAAAAATTTATGCTTGTTTCGGTATAATAAACAATTCATTGCATGAATGTTCGGGAAACATGAAAATTTATTCAGCCAAGAAATATCATATTCCCCTTGGGCGAAGCCCTCGGGGAATATGATTTTTCTTGGCTGAATAAATATAGAATCTCCCATGATTTGTAGTTGGATATGATTTTTATCCACAAGTTGTGTGTGTTTTTTTATCCCCGAGCCTTGGCGAGGGGATAAAAACACACGACGAGTTGGATAAAAGTCATATCCAACTACAAATCATGGGATATTCTTTTTATCCCATGTTTAATACTTCACAACCAATGTTTTGCACTGTTTTATATAGGACTCCACTTTATTTTACTTCATCACTCTAACGCAAAAACCATTGTGGCGTCACAACTGCACTTAACTGTGGAATATGAAAAAATTATCCAATGAGTCATATCCACGGGATAAAGGGGTAAACATGAGATAAATCTTCATATTTCCCTCACGATCATGCAATAAATGTATAATGGTATATAGGTCCCTGTCGCTACCAATTCAAAAGTGAAGAAAATTAAGATTTAAAGATAACAGGAAATTTTTAAAAAATGTTAAAAATCAACTGTGCATAGTAATTTAGCGTATGGGGGGGCATATATTTAAGGAATCAATGTCTAGATTGTTGGGTATGCCAGGGCATCAACGGCAGTTGGAAACGTGGGATAATTTATGCATAACGGGTGAAGTTGTAAATATCGAGAAATCAACATGCTAATATTTCAGGGTTATCACAGAGAAAACATAATATAGATACGACTCGAGATCACGACAACGTCCATTCCCAAAGATATTCTCTTTCGCTAATCTAATCATAACAAAGTTGCGTCCTTCTCTTCCGTTGATCAAATTTCTTCCTAAACAAGAACTGTATACTTATAGCATTTGTAATTATTGGTGTATTAATTGATCATGTCTTTTATGTTTTTGATACATAAATTAAGTACCAAAAAATACCAAAAAACGCGTTTTCGTTGGATCTTTATGTACATTCATTATAAACGAAAGAAAACATCGATGGCGTAAACAGGTCTCAATAAAATCAAGCTACTTTTACATACACACTTTTATATATATAAGATAAAATAGGCCTCACGGAGCAAGTTACATTTTTGCATTTTTTACAGACAATTTTTTGAAATTAAATATTTCACTGTTCTAGCACATAAACATGTACTATATTTCATCTATCGCTAAAATATTTATCAAACGTCCTTTGGTGACATTTTGGATTAAATTGGAGAAGTAATGACTGTTAAATCGCGAATTATACATGTAGATGATCGATGTGTAAAAACAAAGTCAAGAATGGCAACGTCATTAAACGTCTTGGAGCACCGAACTGTAGATCAAGTCCTGCGATACCCCCGCTTATTGTCCCCACATTTCTTCTACGGATTCGCATTGTTTTCACATCTGGACCTTAAATTGTTTAGAATCTAACTGATATTAGAAAGGCCACAAAAGACATATTTGAAAAAAGTAACATGTCTTGCAATATAAACATGATTTTTTAAAGTGAAAAAGACAAAACAAGTGTGTATAACTGAGAGATATTTAAAATTATTTAAAAGATTGAAAGGTGTAGAATCAGGTTGTCACGTGACCTAAAAAATTTTTTCAAGTGGTTGCTCCGGGGAATCTTTTGACTGCAAAGTAAACAACATTGAAAACAAAATATTTGTAAATTGAACTGATTTTTTTCTATATTATCAATAAAAGATAATAATTTGATCAAATATGTGTCATTCTTCAAAGTACACAATGATTTTCTTGCGAACATTTCTAACGACCCTCGTATATATTTTGTTCTCAAAAGAAAAAAAAAATACTGATTTTTTTCCGTAACAAATTGAATCGAACAAACAGATAATTACTTGTAAAGTGATTAAATTAGAATAAGACTTCTCTCTAAAATGAATACGCATTAATTTTAAAAATAAATTATACTATTTTTCTCACATTAATAATGGAAAAAGGGTTTTCGATTGCAAGAAAATAAAGACCTGTATGACGGAATGCCAAAAATCAAGTAAATACGGACTGTTACAAATTAAACAAACTATTTGATGCGATATTATAAAATGATATAATTCATACATATATTATATGGATAGTAATATAATATAATATATTTCAGTAACCGAGAGCGCATGCGTTCAGACAACACAAGCACCAACAACGCAAGCTCCAACAACAACAACATTTAAACCAATACCATAAAGGAACCCCTGAAGACAATGGGAACTGGTATAATTTGTACGCTTTTTTATTTGTTCATTAAATTCATCTTTATCTTCGTACGTTTTCCAATTCCTTTAAAAATTCCTAATTCATATCAACCTAAAAATTTTAAAATTTGTAAATTACTTGAAGTTTACACTAGATTTACATGGTTTAAAATTAAGGATTATGCAATTTTATTATTTATGTTATGTCAATTAAAGCATTTTTTTTTATTTTTACAGTGGAATCCAAATGTTTGTCAAAGCTGTCTGGCAGGAAAAAATATTATTATTTATGAAAACTAAACAATAAACATTTTTATACTCCTATATTTTAGTTTTGTTCGTTTTAGAAGGTGACAAAGGAATCAGTATTTTCTTTTGTTGTTGTGGACCTATAACCAATGTGTTGCTTATTATACATGTATGTAACAAAGTGATAAAACATTTTACAATATTCTACTCATCTACTAAATTACTATATTCCTATTACTCTATTGTGCCCCATCCTTATTTTTCTGAAAATTTATAAGCATTATTATATCAATTGAAGAAGTATGGTGCATCTTTTCTATATTTTAGACCTCTTCTTTATAAGCCCTTCGACGGTCGGATATAACTATTTATACCAAACTGTTGGGGTTTTTTTCCACACAAGATACAATTTTATGTACAATTGCCAATGCAAATTACTTTTAATAAAATAACAGTACTCATTTATGGAACTTCTCATTCCCTAACATTTCTATGTACAATCACGAACACCATTATATTTCCCTTGACCATTGAAGAAATAATAAATGATACTGTACATGCGTTACCCTTCAGTAGACAATGTAAGAGTGCATTACAGTAATTATACATGTAGATCGATAGAGTGTAGAGTATGGTATCGTAACAAGGAGGTGTTTTCAATTAGCATCAGTTTTTGCTGCTGCAGTACATATCTGCACTGTCCGTCCATTGCTATTGAGTTGAGAGGATATTCTATTTACGCTCAGGTCAGCATGTTTGATTTATATTCACATTTCATAAGAAAAATTGGGGCGGGGGCATCATATGCTTTTATAAATATGACATTGCAGATTAATTTTGTAAAAAGTGCTGAAAACATTCAACAAGGTTTAATAGCCGTTAAATTTAAAGATCTTGAATATTGTATTGAGTAATAATATTGGCACCATAAATTCTTTTGGGAAAACTCTCTTTGTCTAGATCTGGCAGTATCGTATCATTTCATAAGAAATGAAGATTGAATTCATCTGCATTTTAATATTTTCTGGACTTCTTAGGTAGGTCAAATATCTATAGACAGTTCAGAATTCCCTCATTTCTTTTTTGAAAAAAGAAGAGAAAAATCGATATAAACAAGATGTCTTTCATTTCCTGTGAATGATTCAGACTTCAATCAAAATTTAAGATATAAAATATGTAAATTAAATCTAATTTGGATAAATGAAATTAAAACAGCCACCATTTTGATAATTCCATCATTTATCTATAAATTAAGGAAAAAAAACCATGTCTTAATATTATCAGGGAATCCAGCGCAGAATGCGAGAGGGAAGAGGAATGCGAGTTTGAGTGAGTACATTTCGATAATTGTATATTTATTTTCTCATTATTTTTCAAGAAATTTATAAAAAAAAAATTATGCTATCGCATACAGTAATCATGATTTTTTTTGCCTTTTATGTTGTTGTTTATAAATAATCTTTTTAGAGTTTCTGCTTTCATGCAGAATGAATAACTGAATTTCAGATGTCACATATAGGATAGTTTAATTTTGCACTACCTGAGGATGTTTCCATGTTTCCATATGGCTAATCATGGCTTTGGTGTTCTTGAAAAGAATATTTTTAAAGATTTTTTTCCAATATATTCCTACATAAATTTTTGATGGCCATTGTGACCCTCTCCTACCCCCGAGGGTCATGATTTGAATAAACTTAAACCTACACTATGTAATGTACATGTATCATAGTGTATACAGTATATTAAACCGGTACATGTATTTTATGCTTTACCTAGAGATAAGATCCAAAAAAAAAATAAATAAATAATTATTTACACTTGCTCAGATATCGATATGTCATTTAAATCGACCTTCCTTTATTCTAATCTCAGCGAGATCCGTATAGACTAAAATTTTCGGTCTGGTGTCTCTACGGATCTCAGACCAGAGTCACATAAACTCATTCGGGGTTTCTTGCCCGAACTTCGACCGCTTGTTTCGATTAATACGGGCTGAAATGAATTAGCTGTCCGCTTCAACTTTTTGCTTTGGACATCCTTTTAATTCCCCATCACCATAAAACTTTCATCTGTTACCTCTGAAAAGTTTAATTCCATCAAAATATAAAGTTGTTGATTTTTCATAGCATAAGCTATTCGTTTAAACCTCCGATGATGAAGAGTTCCAGCAATAGTCTGCTTCAAATACTTCGTACTATGGTTCATTTCTATAGGACATAGTAGTAGAACGACGTATTTGAAGTTCGGGCAAGAAACCCCGAATGATTATGTGACACTGGTTTGAGATCCGTAGAGACACCAGACCGAAATTTTTAGTCTATACGGATCTCGCTGAGATTATCTTATTCCTTAGTCATAAAATAATGTCAAACTATGCATGAATAACGTATTTCTTTTTAAATTAAAACAAAATGACCGAAAAGAGTGTTTAAGCGAGGATTTAAGTATAGACACCTAGATTCCAATCTGTCATTCTGCCATTCCACTACACAGCTATTTCATTATCTATTATTGTACTCATGATTTTAATTAATATCAGAGTTATAAATTAATGACAGTATTTTGTTGGGTTTTTTTTTTAACCTCATAATAATTCCATTGTAGGAAACTGAAAAGGAATATTCTAATATTTGCCGGTGCCATCCTAGGATTCGCAATACTTGTAGGTCTCTCTACATATGTCGTCTACAGACTGCGTAACAAAAAATAAGCACATACAGGTGAGATACTGGTGAAAATTACAATATGTAACACAAATTATTTTCTATTTGAGATGTTTCAAGCAGAGAGAGAGAGAGAGAGAGAGAGAGAGAGAGAGAGAGAGAGAGAGAGTTTACTGTAACAAAACCATTTTAAGCTTATTGTAAAAAAAGAACATAAAGATATTGTAAATCATTCATTCTGGTCAGAGATTCGAATTCATATAAATTTAGAGAGCTCGTGAAATGAACATCTTTGTAGTACATGTAGCATTAATATTCTCATGTATACAATGAATAATTACCCTGTATGTTTCTTTGTTTCAGGTGTTAAGACTGAAGGTACTCTTCTGTTATAGGACAGAGGATAGCTACAAAGTGCTGACTACATGTCTGATCTACAGAAATGAAATTTCACAACAGTAGTGTCCTTATATATGTATTGCTTTGTGCATTTAAAACAAACTCAGCATTTCATTTTTGTTGTATTTGATATTCATTTTCTTTTTATTGATTATAATAAGTATTGAGCTCTTTACCTGATTTGTGAAAACATTGGTCCTGGGTTCGCCCTAACAAAAAAATACTATAGTTTACTATACTTCACTATAGTGAACTATAGTAATAACTTTGACACTATGAAAACTATAGTTACATGTAACTATAGTGATAACTTTGACACTTTGATTTACTATAGTGGTCACTATGAATACTATGATTTACTATGGTGAAAACTTTGATTTACTATAGTGGTCACTATGAATACTATGATTTACTATGGTGAAAACTTTGATTTACTACAGTGTTCACTTTGAAAACTTTGACTATAGTGATCACTTTGACACTATAGTGATCACTTTGAAAAATTTGATTTACTATAGTGATCACTTTCAAACTGACACTTTGATTTACTATAGTTAACTATAGTATTTTTTGTTAGGGCGGGATTCAGACTTCTGGCTGAAGCTTAGTTTGTACTATAATATTTACGTGTTCAAATTTCTTTGTTCAGGATAAAACTATACACATACAAGTATACAAGTAATAAATTAACTTGATTTCTTTATAAAGCTATTGTTTCATAGATAGGTGTGGTTAAAAAATCAAGTGCAGAGAGAGAGAGAGAGAGAGAGAGAGAGAGAGAGAGAGAGAGAGAGCTTGAGCTTGGATCGAGCTCGTCAATTTATGGAATCATGTAATATAAAGAATAACTGTCAGGTTTTTTGGTTTTATGATGAAGATTCAGCAGTTGGCTTACTTGATAATTTTGTGCATAAACCCCTTCGGCGTTTGTGTATATCGTCACACAAGCCAATTGCTTGATCACATCATAAAATAAGGAAAAAACTAGACAGTTATTCCTTATTTAAAAATACCTCTATGCGATGGTTCAAATCCTTGCAGCACATCGATCCAAAACGAAATGATATTGAAATAGCTTAATGAAGCTTGTAGGTATCTCTTTAAACTAATTCAATCTGAACAGTTTAATCAAAGATCTTTACTGTCTTGATTGTAGTATTCGCGATGTTTTTAACACTTAATTAGAGTGTTTCAAGGAACGCATGTGTCGCCTGCTTTATAGCTTTATTAAGGATGTAAATAAACCTAAGTGTAGTTTGTTATTTATTTACTACTAATATGATAGTTCATGCAGAAAAAAGCATTTACGCATAGCATAAGATTGCTATATACTCTGACAATCAAAGAAAATATGATTATTTATCATTTTACATGTATAATACGTGTTTCAAAGTGTTTACTCCAACTGTCATGCGGTCTACACGATCTATTGTGGGATATCGATCCCGATATGTATTGTCATAGTATTTAGATATCAGTTTGTGTGGTAACTGAATATCATATAGTTTAAAAGTACAGTTTCATGAGCTCATAAACATGTATAAAGGCTAATTATCAACACCCAAATTCAGAAGACTTAAGTTAAATTAAACTGTCCGGGGTACTTTTTGCAAAGTAGGCCAAAGGTCAAGTGAATTGTAACGCCGGTATTTTCTTAAATGTTTTATTATAATCAGTGCACATGCTAAATAGTATAGACTTATCTCTTAAACATAGAACATATTCTGTATATTGGCACTATTAACATTTTTGCAAAGTATGTCAAAGGTCAAGGGTCACGAGGTCTGTAATCATGGAAATACACAAAAGCCAAAGTGCCAAGCAATATATGTGCAAAATATGAAATTCATGTCTTATAATGTAAATATAAATATTAAGTTCTTGAGATACAAGGAGTGACAAACGGACAGACTGACAGACAGACAGATGTCGGGTTAAGTGATCCCTAAGTGCCGCTCTGCTCTGCAGGCGACGCAAAAAAGAGGAGTTAAGGTTTCTATGCTCTGAATGTTTAGTTTATAGTTGATGTTTCTATGCTCTGAATGTTTAGTTTAAAATTGAACTACATGGATTTCTGACAACTATACTGATCAAATGTTCATTTTTTTAAAAATATATTTGATCTACTTTTCAATTAAATTCTATACTGCAAGAACTATTTTTTTTATAATTTACGTCCTGTGTATTTTTCTAATAAATATGTGTGGTTCTTCCTCTTGAAAAAAAGGTATATTTAATCAAAAATTGCTTAATATTAATCTCTTTCCAAAGAAAGTAAAATATATTTCATGCTTGAAGAACGGCAGCCATAATTTCAGGTTTGCCTAACATCAGAGAAAACCCGCTTGAGATATTGAAGGTAAGACTACTAACAGTAAATGAATAAAAGGAACTGAATCAGCAATTTCACATTTCAAGATAAATCAAAACTATACCATGCAGACACTTGTAAGTTTGTGTTTTATCAATATTGAAAATCAAAAGCATGAAAGTAATTGAAAAAAAATATTTTATTTCAAATTGACAACTAGAAGTGTTTATGCAAAGGACTGGAATTGAAAATCTGTATACCAAGGTCAAGCAACTGTTAATTTTGAGAGGTTAGCATCTCTGTATACTCATTATGATTACATGATTATGTAATTACAGTCAATGCACTCTTGTTGATTTCACTTCAGATTTTTCCTGAACTATCACTTTTTGCCCATTATTTTTTGCATCACTTCGACTCTCAATTAATTGTAATACCTATTCATTATTATTCTCGCGCACACTACATGAATAGGACGGCATGTTTAATCAAATCTGTGTAAATTTCGTATTGCATGGTACATGTACAGGAAGAGTACATTGCACGAACACATACACTTCCATCTCTATTCAAATCATGTTTATGAGTATAGCTTTGCGAAATTCTAATTCTCTGACTCATAATGTTCACAGATTTTAAAAGAAATTTTTAAAAAAACATATCTATTTTGGTATCATGATGATTAAATGTAATATTGTAAAACAGCCAGAACTAAGGTCAATTCCTTTACTTTATTTTATTACTTATTATTACAGTAATTGAAATGTAGCTGAAAAGTAATGGCCATCAATAATACTAGTAATTTTTCAAAGAAATGCATTAAATTATATGATTTTAGTTGAAATGTGGATGCATTACAAATTGCAACCAATTATTCGGGAAAATGTAATGATTTTGAAAGCATTTCCATTACACATTATCATTACCTTAGATCTGATATCTACTCAATTTATTAGCTTTGTTTCAAATGAACTAGTCTGAAGTTACATAACGTTATTAGAGACAGTTAGCGCTTCATGAAAAATGCCTACATGAAAGGCTGTGTGATTTACACATACCAATAATTCACACTAAACTTAAAAACATTCCTTATATTTACATTTAACATGTTTAAATGCACCAAAAATATACTCACGTTCGAATTTCTCGCTGCCCTATATTGCCATATTTTAATTAACGTCTCTGTAGCCTCATTGTGACGTTATTTTAGCGCGAGTTTCTCCGTGTATATTTCTACGCGTGAGTATACACATGAATGGTTTCAAATCAATTTCACATTTGGCTTAGTAGAAATCACAGCAATGTAAATTTCAATGTATACGAGGGTTGTCCCAAAATTCTGTAAACTTTGTCTATATCTATTGCATATATCAAGGTATCTTTATATAATTTTGTGGGTACATGTATGAAGTGTGTTTTTAGCTGATAAATTACGAAGTTTTCACATCATTACTTGAAAAACGTACGTTTAATTGTTTTAATGTTCTACCACCCGGCGCAATCTTCGACATTAAAAATTACGTAAACGTCACCGGTACGAATTTTTGGGGAAAATGCATTAATTATCAGAATCACATTGTCTACTTTAACATAAAGATTTGTGAAATAAATATGAAATATTATAATTGTTATGATGTACTTAACATTAAAATATATGCCAAAAAGTTTAAATTGCATGCATCTATTAATAATTCATGAAAATCTCCTTATCTCCAAGGGACTTTAATTTTGTTCGTCTTTCCGAATGGAGTTGCACTGTGTAGCTTTGACGACGATGTCTTTGTCTATTTCTTTCGGCTGTTCTCTTTATTTGCTTCGTTTTCCATATATACCTTGAAAAACTTCTTTTGTCATTCAAATAATACATTCTTGAATATATCTATGTGTTCCAAACATTTGTTTCTTCTAATGCACCTCTATTAAAGTTTCGATCTACATTTTATCATATTCCATTGCGCCGCCTGTGTCAATGCGGCGTAATTTTTCATGTGATATCAAGAAAAAGGGGCTGACCCCTAAAATTAGTGGCTCAGAGGGGCCAAAAGTCTTTCATCTATAACTCTTTAATGATGAATATTTTGTTATAAGTTATTGAAGCAAAAATGTTTATCTTAACATTCTGCAACTATATATAATAAAATTTTGATCATATGTTACGTAATAAGGGGCCATAAGGGGCCAGAATGCTAAATCTTTGACCCATTATATCTCGAAAAGGGGAAATATTTTGATAAGCAATATTGAACAAAAGATGTTCAAAATAATGTTCTAAACAATATACACCCTTATAATTTTTGCAAGACATCCCCATTAAGGAGTTGGAGGGCTGGCCCCTAAATATTGTTATTCTATATATGTCTTAAACGAAAGGAAATTTCTGAATAGTTGTTGAACAAAAAGTCTTAAAAATCACAAGACCTTTCATTTGATATCAATAAAAAGGGGCTGACCCCTCAAGTTAGGGGCTCAGAAGGGCCAAAAGTCTTTCATCTATAACTCTTTAATGATGAATATTTTGTTATAAGTTATTGAAGCAAAAATGTTTATCTTAACATTCTGCAACTATATATTATAAAATTTTAATCATATGTTACGTAATAAGGGGCCATAAGGGGCCAGAATGCTAAATCTTTGACACTTTATATCTCGAAAAGGGGATATATTTTGATGAGCAATGTTGAACAAAAGATGTGCAGAATAATGTTTTAAACAATATGCATCCTTTCGCTTTTTACAGATGAATATCTCAGTC